TGTGCACAGAGTAAATATAACCTTATTCTGGAACGGTCACTGTGGAAATGGCCATTTTAGACCTTGTTTGCTGACAACTACCCATAGACCTAAGAGTGTGGTCAGATATGCAGGTGCATTCTAACTGTCCTAAGACACCAGGGACCGCTGGTGCAGTCCAGAATTATGATTGCTCAACCTGGCCGCCAAAATTTTATTGGAGGCGCATGCAGACAATTCTGGTAACAACTCATCTCAAGGGGTACAATAGTGAAAAATCATACAAGCTTTTTCACTATCCAATTGTTATCTCTTAAGAATTACTGCACAATGGTTTCTGCATGAATGCAAAGGTAGGTCGACCACAACTTAAATTTCTCTGGATACTTGTACATATAGAAAAAAATGTCTCCTGTGACAGATTCATATCTCTAGCTATTGCACAGGTAAGACTAGAAATCCACTCACAGTAGGACCACTTCTCTAAGCTCTTAAAGTCTGCCACATTATATAAATCTGTGTGCCAGATCTGTGCATGTTCAGCAGCTGGTTCTGCTGGTAGATGTTCTACATGCTCCCTCAATTAGAACATCCAATATTTATTAATAACAATAATAATGATGCGTCTATTCATTCAACATAAAACATTGATTTATTCATACCTGCATAGGTTTGGAAAGAGGATCCAGCCTAACAAGATACACTTCCAGGGTACGCTCTTTCTTCATTGGTAGTGGAAGTGTCAAGTAACAAAAAGGATCAAAAGTAACAGAAATTTTAGAACATTCAGGACATACTAGGGTAGATTTAAATAACCCGTGAAATATATCAACTATAATGGAGTCATTGCGCTTTATGTGGTTCTCCCAGGCTTCCTCTGCCACCACCTGCAACATAAAAACCAAACATTAAAATATATCTTGACCCTTCATATTTCCTTATGTGAATCATCACATTTAAAATGGAAACACTTGAACTGTTACTATGACACACATGAGAGCCGACTTTATCTAGAATGCCTAAAAAGCACTGTCACTATTAATAGGAGACAGGATCTGGACAAGAATTCAGACATGATAAGTACCTCGTCTGGTCTCCCCTCGGCATCCTTTAGTTGGATGTAAGGCTTCTTTCTAATTCGATTTAAATCCTCATGTAAGCCATCTAATAAGAAAGCAAGCAGTTCTTGGCAATCCTGCTGTTGATAACCAGAAAACTGAGGTGCAAAGCGGCCTACCTGAGTCTAGAGAAAAATAAAGCAAAAAAAGACCACAAAAAATTAGTTTATTCCTATTTGAAATAGTATAGCACAAAGATGTGTCACACAAGGTAGTAGGACAAATATCACCTCACATGAAAGTTTGAGCGAGAACAAGCCTGTCATCTTCATATAACAGCTGCAAGTAATTACAACATATAATAACTAGTGACATAGTATCTATCAAAGATCTCTGTAGAAAGTTGTTAGGCTAGTTCACACCAGCCACCGTGCGTTCCGGCCCGATTGGGGCTGGAACGCACTGGATCGCATTCCGGTCTGCTCACTTTGTTTTGGGGCGGTGCACTGAACTGAATAGCACCACAGCCACGCCCTCCGGCTGCAATGCGATTGTCCGCACCGAAACGCGTGGCACATCAGTGCCCGAGTTACGGTCCGATGCGGTCAGAAAAAATGCGGCATGCACTATTTTTTCTGACTGCACCAGACCGGAACGTAGGCACTGATGTGCCACGCATTCTGGTGCGGACAATCGCATTGCAGCCGGAAGAGCGTGGCTGCGGTGCCATTGACTTCAATGCACCGCTACACCCCCTCCCACCCCAAAACACAGTGAGCTGGCCGGAATGCACTGTGGCTGGTGCGAACTAGCCCTTCAAGTGATCAGTGAAAAAGGTTATGCCGTTGAATATTTATTCTACACAAAATCCAGCCTCAGCTTTCAGTCTGACAGTGAGTCCCAACCTTAAAGTGACGCTAAATTCAGGAGTTAAATCTTAAAAAACGCATTTCACATACCTTAACTATTAACAATACTGGACTTTATTTGTGCATCCCTCAGCTGTAGATCCTCAAATCATCTCTGAATTTTTCTGACACTGTCCCCCTTCTAGAGGGTGGATACTTTTGTTCTCTATGGTCCCTGTGTGGCTACTTGTGTTCTCCATGGTCCCGTGCCAAGCTTGCTTCTGTGATGGACTACAATCTTATGTTTAGTTTTATAATGATTGTAGTCCGTTGCAGGAATGAGCTTGGAGCCGTGGCTACTTTACAACCCAAATAGGGACAATGGGAAACAAATGTAGCCATCCTCCAGAAGGAAGGACAGAGTCAACAACATGATTGGAGGATCTACAGCTGAGTGATGCACAAATAAAATCTCTCTCTCTCTCTCTCTCTCTCTCTCTCTCTATATATATATACACACACACACGAGAGGTATGTAAATGCCTTTTTAAGATTTAACTTCTGAGTTTAGTGTCACTTTAAGCTTTAACTGAAGTCCTCCATAGTGAAGCTAGTGGTCTAGTTTGTCCACACATGGTTAAAAGATGCCAGAAAAATCACAAAGGGGTCTAGGGATTTATGTATGTGTCTGATAACAGCAAACACATTTGCCCATTTAGTCTTAGGGACACTATACACAGCCCAATTTCACACCATTGTAACTGGCTTCACTAAGGGACAGTAGTAATACTGTACAAAGATGTTATAGCTTTCTTGAAAATCTCTGTACAAAGAGGATGATACTGCCCTTGTTTAACTATGCATGTGTTGCTTCTGCTTGTTAGCAAAATCCCATCAAAAAAGTGCTGTCAATGTGCTTGAAAGGATTGAGGATTGTGTCACCACTGCTCACTCTATTGCTGCCCATACACCTTAATAATGTTCTCATTTTTTGGATAAAAAAATTTATACATAAAAGAAGTATGGAAAACTGACCTTGAATGCTCTTGGAGTTACATAGCTGTATTTTCCTGACCACATTTGTTTGATGAGCTCGGCATAAGATTTGGCTATTTCTCCTCTCATGCCTAAAGGGTTATCTAGGTTCAGTTCATCTTGATACTTATCATTAAGGAAGTATTCAGTTAGTGGCGGTGTATTGCTCAAACACTGAAAAATTAAATGATATAAATGGCAACATTACAATGACAAATGATGAAAATCTCGGTATATTAATGAACACAACTTATTAATCCTATGGATTGATTTTTATTCCGAGATACACAAATTTTCACGTTAATAAAAGTAGAGCGAAACTGGCATTGCAATAGAATGTAACTGCATGCACATATATATTTACTGGAAAATCACAGAGGCCGTGTTTTGTTACCTGAATGGCAGAATTCATAAAACAAGTGTTTCCCAGGTTACTTAAGCCACATAGTCCCGGCTGCTCATTGTGTCTTCCTGGCTCCGAGTAATCATAGTTTTTGTAAGCAGCATATGAAGGCAGACAATAGTTTGAATTTTTCACACTGGAAGCAAAAGCAAACAAACATAAAAAAACTGGTAGTGTCAACCAAAATAAAGTTATTTTTTTGACAGCGCATACATGCCCGGCAATCATACAGGTAAGCTAAAACCATGAAGCATTAATAGATCTATAATCTAACATATTTGAGCTATAGTGCATATAGAGAACTGATGGCAACCTACTACAATTTCGTTTTCAGCAGTTTAGAAAAAAAAAAAACCACCACCAGATACAAGCAATTGCAGTAGCAAACAATGTGCGATATTTGAGCTCCTAGATGTGCAGAGTTCGTATTTAAATGCAGTCACTTACAGGTAATACAAGTCAATTTAGATTTTAAAAAAACCCGAAAACAAAAATAGGATTTTTTTGTACTCACCATAAAATCTTTATTTTGGTAGTCCATTGAAGGACACAGGAAGTCTTTAACTTTTGGGTATACTGCACCTACAGTGGAACTGGACACTGGCAAAAAAAAAATGTAGGCCAGCCGAGAATAACCCTTCTTACTACCAGCATGCCACAGTTTTGTAGTAAAGCAGTACTGAGAGCATGATCATAGACACAGTAGTGGGAACGGTGAGAAAGAAAATCCAAATTTTTTTCTCATCCACTGAAGGACACAAAGTCTTTAAACTTCAAAGTATCAAAAGGCAGTCCTGCTATGGGTTGGGCAATACTGCAAACAATCGATTATAGGCCAACAACAAAAAACAGGAAACTGGGTATGCCTGAAGACCAAATTGCCGCCTGAAGGACCTTAATGTCCAAAACTGGCATCAGAAGAAGCAGAAACATCCACCCGGTAGAACATACAGAATGAGTGAACAGAAGACCAGGTGGCAGACTTGCAAATCTGGCAACTGTTGCACACAACAAAAAGGGCAAGAAACACTCACAGATCTAGAATATGCCTCTACAGAAGACGGTGGAACCCTGTCCTTGAGACCATAGGCTTAGATGATGGTCCTAGACCTAGAAATGATGGGTCGGGAACATTTGGGGAGGGATCCTGTTGTAGCACCCTCAGGGCTCACACCGACTGAAGTGTGCCTTCTGTGTTTGATAACAGACCTTGTGGGAAGATGACTTCCTAGCTGCTAGCATTGCAAACATTACACACTGAGAGATGCCCCTGTCATTCAGAATCTAGGCTTCAACAGCCATGTCGTTAAAGTCTGTAATCGTGGAGCAGGATGGCAAATCGATCCTCAGGACAGATGATTGTGATGATCCAGCAGTGCCCACAAAGCAACTGCCAGGAGACATACAGAGCCAGGGTACCAAATTCTTCTGGGCGGGTCCAGAGCAATAAGGCTCCACATTGCATCCTCCATCTCGTTCCTGTGAAGCAGACAGGGAAGGCATTTCAGAGGAGGAAAGGTAAAGTTCGGGGTTTGCTGATCCCACAGAGCCAGGTTTGGGTTAGCAAATGCCAAAGCCTGGCAGTCTGCTCATCCTTACTCTAACCTTGAAACTGATATCCAAGCAGATATAAAATACACAAATTAATGCTGCTCTATGTTGATACATCATTAAATGTATACATTACTTTATTGCAAGCAGTGTAGGGACCTGAATTTGACTTGGTATCAGCCATTTGGAGCCCTTTGTGCAGCAGCACTTAGACTGGCAGAGGGAGATGCAGATAGAGAAGCCAATCAGTTAATTTACTAATAGGGAGCATGGTGATATGAGGGGAGCACAGTGACAGATGGAAGAGCTACTCAGTGTGCTGGTTCTCTAGAGTGGTGGCAGAGAGGTAAAAGACCTGTAAGTGTTACTGAACTGCAGTAAAGAATAATAATTAAAAAAAAAGAAAATCTGCTGCCCCTGCCCCCAAGCCCTTCCTGAAAAAAGAAAAAAAAAAAAATCTACAAGGCTCGAGTTTCCCACCCCTCTGCATTCTTCCACACATATCACTGATATGCCAAAGTAGTAAGATATGCGTATAGCCTCAGGATTAAGATCAAAGTGCACACAATTTTGGATGCTTTAGATGCGATATATTATTAGCAAAGTATCTGAAAATGTTTTAGCATTTTCCTTCCCGTTTTTTTACTCTATTATGGAAAATGTAGTTCAACATTCATAATATTGATTAGTAGAGGATCCACCTACATATGTAGTGAGTTTTTTTTTTTAATCAAGTTTTATTGAGTTTTAAAAACATACAAACAACCGGTAAATATAATAATCTGATAACCATATCGAAATCAAAGATTTCAAGAACAATAACAATAATCTTCTTTCCAGTGGCAAGGTATGATTGTCCATGCTGCATTGATTAGATGTCTATGCAGCGATTTGTTAGGGACAGAGGCCAATTCTGCCCAGCAATGTAAAAGGAAAATCTCCTGCAGAAATTGCAGCGAAGAACCCATGACTTGTGTTACGGCTTCATGCACCTGGCGCCAATAAGTTTAAATATGCGGACAAGGCCAGAAAAAAAAAAATGGAGGCGGGTACCCACACCACTATGACATTGCTAGCAAGATTGTGGAATGGCAGGGTATATACGATGGAGAAGATGAGGGGTCCTGTACCAGTAGGTTAATAATTTGTAGTTGGTCTCCTGCATCCTGCTATTGATAGTGCATGTGTAGACAGTTGTACAAATGTCCGACCAAAAAGTCTCAGATAGAGTAATGTTAAGTTCACGTTCCCATGTCCTCTCTAGAGGAGGTATGTGTTTCAAATTATCCTCCTGTACAAGTGTGTATAGTCACGAGATCAAGTTTCGAGAAGGGCCGTCTCCTGAGCAGGTTTTCTCAAAGGGGGTAAAGGATCTGGAGAAGTTTGCTTTCCCATAAGAAGCCATCAAATAATATCTGACCTGAAAATAGGAGGTGGTAAGTGTGTTTACTCTTTTGTATACATTTTCTTCTTACTAAAGCAAGGTAACGTATACTCTTTTTAATGGGAAATAATCAAATCTGCCCATACTGCGTTCCCCTTGGATAACCTCCTGTTTTTGGCTACGTCACATGTTTTCTGCTGTAGATAATTTTCATAATAGACCTCTAAAAACTTCGAGCTGAATAATGTGTAAAAACCGCTACAGAGAATATATTAATTTGTCTGATGTGCACAATGTGCTATAAAAGTTAATAAACGTAATCTTAAGCCAAAAACCTGTCTCTATTATTCTTTATATGCTAGAGGTATGTGTGACACTTTAAGCCAGAAACTCCTATTTAGACTGATATTAAGGTTGTCTTGTGCTGTAAGGTGCAGGTCTCTAAAAAAGCAGATCACATTGTTTACTTCAGTTCTAATAGTTACAGTAGATAGAGATAAACATTATATACATTCATAGTTCTCATGACAAAGTCACTTTCCCTACAGTCCCCAAACGGTCACCACAAATTAAATTTAGGCACCTTTACATGTCTGCATTTACCTTGCAGCAGCTATTAACGTACTCTGGGGCCTTAATGCCCAGGAAAGTTGAGGGCTGGCCCACCCTCTTCACCTCCTCTTTTTTGACCCTGAGGCTGCAGATCGTGCTATACAGCCAATAAGGTGTAGTCATTGATATTCTTGGTTACAGTGATCACACGGCCAATCCTGGCCGTGTGATCACTGTAACAGCCTATTACAGTAACCAGATAAAATGGTAAATATAAACATATGGTAATTTAGAGAGTGTCCCTGCATCCCAGCTTCCATTACTGTCTGAGGAAGAGTACCTGGTTTCATCAGTGTGAAAAATCAAGAGCTTATTAAAGTAGAAGTCTAGGCAAAACTTTTTTTTTTTTAGTTTTAGATATAGTGGGAAAAGGTTAGAGCGTCTGTCAAGGTTTTATTGCTGTCCGAGTTACCATTTTATTTGTACTGGTAAATAATGCAACGGAGAACAGAACAATTTTAGAGTTGGCCCCAGAATAAAAGTTGAGTTCCGGGGACAACTTCCTAAGAGGTGAATTGTCAGTTTGGGGGATTTCCACTAACTTCCTGTTGCACCTCTGGGATAGCAAGTGAAGGGAAATTTTCCAAATTTCTGAGTTTCAACCCTCCCTACTCTACCCAAAACATAAAATAAAAACTTTGGCTGTACATACACTTTAACCAAATTCCCTTATTACCTTCTTTAATGTATCAATTTTACACCTGACAGCTCTTTGCTGTTCTTTATTTGCTTTTAGCAACCTATTTATAAAAATGTGAGGCAAAGATGTTCTCCATAAAAAGTGGAAACTTGCCCATACTGATACCTTTTTCACATTCCCAGAGATTACAATAAACACCTGACTGGCTGCTAAGGGCAAGTTCTCCACATTTTTTTTTTGTTTCCTTAAAGTGTTTCAGGTTTAGATTTTTGGTAGTTATTTAGGTAGTAAAGCGAGTTATTTTGAATTATATAATAATTTTTTTTTTTTTTACTTTTTGTTAAAAAAAAAAAAAAAAAAATGTTTTTTAGGATTT